AAGAATAATGTAAATCCAGCACAAGCTTCTGATTAGTTGAAGCGTGGCCTGTTAAACTTCATGTTCTTTGAGTGACAATTGCTTTTATCTGTTCCATATTGAATCAGCAAACCCTCTTCTGCAACTTTAGTATTTATTATTAGTTGATGTAGCTTTAAATGGTTGACCAGTGAGCATATTAATTCTCTTTATAAATCCAAATGTGCTGCACATTTTAATTAAGCATTTATACAGTAACTTTCAGCCAAACCAGTAATGATCAGATGTTGCCAAATACTCATCCTGAAAGCAAGTTTCTTCGTGGATATAATTTACCTGCTTTATTTCAGACCCTGGAACAATCTGAACTGTGTAAAATATTCGGTTAACTTGGATATTGTTTGAGATATCTATCAAAAGAAGAAAGGTTTTCTCTTTTGAATTCCAATATTTTATTTCTCTTATTGCACTTTTTGGATCCTGACATAAAGAGGACACCTTAGGACAGGAAGAATAAGAAATCACTTCATAAGAGAACACACTCACATACTAATCTGACAGTATGAGTTCAAAGACTTCCTTTAACAATCAAAATTCAACCCTTTGCTTGGCCACCCACAAAACAGTAAAGTTCAATCTACAACTATAATCATATGTTAATAGTTTTAAATAAACATTTGTCCAGAATTTCAGTTGAGGGTAAACTGTAGTTATTGTTGACACTGTATATTTTTCTTTCTAAAACGCCTACGCTTTTCGACTTCAAAGTGCCTGTTTTATTAGACAAGCCAAGTAAAGCCCAAAGACATTTAGAGTCATCAAAAATGGATAAAAGCAGAATGTGCTCCACAGTCTGAAGCCACTAAATATACAGAATGTTTGTCTAATAAATAACTTAAATACATAATTTAAACATTACAGTTTCAAAGATGTTTTCTTTCTGGTATGAAGCAATTCAACTCTAATCCCACCAAAACTTTAAGCTTGCAAAGACTGAATAAATTAAAAGAAATCTAAGGTGACAACCAGTTTTTCTAAATTGTTTGACCATCATGAGAACATTTGGAGTTAATTTTGAAAAAAAAAAAAGAAGAAGATTTGCTTATAGTTTGACCTGCTTTAGTGTAAATAAAAATGAGTAGCAAAACAAGAGCATGACCTGATGCCACAACTACAGTAAGCAAACATTGTATGATAAAAAATGAGTTTTAAGTATAAGGAAAAACATGAAACAGATAAAGATATATCTCTTTATAATGCATGCAACATGCATATGTTTACCAATTTTTGCCAGGCTGTGCGATCACTTCAAATGTAAATGTTACTAAACAGATCAGAGAGAAAAAACAGGTCTTGCTGTTAAAGCAGTTTTATCTGGACTGAAAGCTTGCTGCTGGTAAGAAACAGGAATACGATGTTAAGGATCTGTATTAATTAATTGAATATGCTGTATTTTCTGAAGGGCAACATAAGTCTGCTGACTGATTTTGTGGAAAGATTAAAGAAATTCATGGAAAAGAATCAGCCCAAGAAACGTGAAGATCAAGGATCATTATTTTTTGCAAAAATCATTCTTTTGATAAAGTTTCCTGAATTTCTTCTGCTACAGTGGATATACATTGTCTACAAACCTCCATGTTGAGGTTAGCGTAGTGTGTTGGACGCCCCAGTGCGTAAAATCTGCTCTTATCCAGTGGTTTGCTAAATAAATTACAAATGACCAAAAAGCAAGCTCTGGTGCCTTGCCATTAGGCTGGTTATAACTACAAAAGAAACCATGGGGTGTCATTATTGTGACAATCTCAAAGTCCTGCACAAGTGCAAGTGTCACCACATAGTTTAACAGTAGACCACCCCAACCGCAATACTTGATTTATGCAAGCAAAAAACTAAATTAGTGAAAAAATCTCCCATTAAGGGGATGTACTGTATATGTAGGGCTTTGTGTTTGATTTCCTACAAATATAGAATGCATTTAAGGTGTTGCAGCATTCAAAGTATGTGTGCTGTTTAACAGACAGTACATGCTTGGTGCCAAAACTAATTCTTGCCACTATTTAAAAAAAGGTATTATTTTTGGAGTGAACAACAATAGTTCCAACGTCATCCTATTCCTTCACCACTTTGTTAAATTAAAGCATTATTACTTTCTTTTCACTCCCCATCAGTTTATGTGCACAGATATGCATTGTAGGTTTACAGTTGTACCATACTGCTTTTACGTTAGATAATGGATTCAGCAGTACATAGGATGATTGGCTTTGTGTAAATTAGTCCACTTGCAAAGAGTACAATTTGAATGTGAACAGAACTGAACCTAATAAAACATCTCAGATTTTGCTTCTGGTTAGATTGTAGGTATTTTCTGTTGTGAATACACCTCATATTATTAAATTTTAAGAAACATCCTTGCTATATTATAGTAAATGTATGCATTCAATCAGGGAACGTTTTTTATAAAATAATTCACAACTTTTAAAATTCAGTTAAAATACGTTGGTTTACAGTACTGGGGTCCCACAGGGAACAGTGCTGGCACTATTCCTCTTCACCATCTACACTGCAGACTTCTCCATCAGTTCCAAACGCTGCCACCTCCAGAAGTTCTCTGACAATTCTGGCATAGTTGGCCTCATCACAGGTGGGGTCAACTCAGAGTACAGACAGTGGACCCAGAACTTTGTGCTAGCAGAACCACCTTCTGATTAATGCAGGAAAAAACAAGGTGCTAGTGGAGGACCTACGCAGAAGCAGATCGACCCCACTGACACCGCTGAACTTTTAGGGAATGGACATTGAGATAATGGACTTTTAGGTGTTCACCTGAATATTGAACTGGACTGGATGAGGCTCTGTATAAAAAAGGTCAGAGCAGACTCTTCCTGCTCAGGAGACTGAGGTCTTTTGGAGTGCAGGGTGCACTCCTAAAGACCTTCTATGTTACTGCTGTGGTATCAGCCATCTTCTATGGAGCTGTCTGTTGGAGCAGTGGCTTATCTGTTGCTGAGAGAAAGCGACTGTATAAGCTGATCAGAAAGGCCAGCCCTGTGATTGGATGCCATCTGGACTCAGTGAAGGAGGTGGGAAACAAAAGAACCCTAACCAGAATAACATCTCTGTTGGAAAATGTCTCCAACCCCATGCATGAAGCTGGTACAGAACTGTAGAGCTCCTTCAGTGACAGACTGCTGCACCCTAAATGCACCAGGGAGCGTCATCACAGATCCTTCCTCCCAGCAGCTGCAAGACTTTAGAACCACCACTGTTCCCAACAACCTCAATAAGTTTTTACATTCATGCTGATTTTGCACAGTTTCTTCCTTAGTCAGTTAAATAACATGCTTCTGTCATTTTGCACATCTCTGATGTTGCTGCTATTTTCAAATATCCATTACTGTAAAAATGTCCACAGGTGTATATGGGTTATTTATTCTCCAGGTGCACAGTATTTATATTGTTAAAACAGTATTTCATTTGCGTTATTTTTTAACTCTTCACTATTATATTATTCTTATGCATGTTTCTAAGGTGCACATTTGGGTGATGATTTTTCTATAATCTTTTTACTGCTGTAAACACCAGAATTTTCCCATTGTGGGGCAATAAAGTAATTTTCTATTCTTTTCTAACAATTCTTTCTCACAAATATGTAATGGTTCTGGGTTATTTTTCAAAATATGTACTTCTCCGTGGCCACGTATTTTTCTTTCTGTTTTTTTTCTGCAATGCTCCTGAGGCCCTCTTGCTATTTTATTTTGCTCTTTTATAAATAAGGTATACTGAATTTTGTATTTGTAACATGACTGAAGTTTAATAATTTCCTAATTGCCTAATTAAATTTTTTTTTAACACTTTGACTGAAACAATAGCCAAGGTACATGCATTCCTCACTTATTGTTACACAAATAAAACTAAGATCTTAAGAAAAGTTGGCTTATTTTATAAGTTTTTATTTTGTTAGTTTTTTTCATTTCAACAAAGCTTCAAATACCTAAAAAACTTGATTGAGCCCAGATGTCACATTCAACTTTAGGTGGAGTAAAGCAAGATTATTTGTATGGCATATTGCAGAAGTAAGCCAATCCAAAGTACAGCTTATGTTCAGAACATAGGAACAGCTTAGAAAATTGCATCCACACAAGTGTACACAGTACCAATGACGATGCTTTTGGACATATGCCAGGCACGTTGGTGGCACTGCTGTTGTGTTTACCTTGCTCATGGGAGGTAAACAAAGCAACACGGTAGCAAGAAGGCACGTGCTGGATATAGATGAGGATGCAACTATGACATCCCTTTTAGAAAAAAGATTGTCTTTTAAAGTGAATAATTTCGTTGAAGTGGTACGCAGGATATGAGAATCATAAAGCTCCATTCAGACAGTTTTTATCACATTTGCTATTGGCAAGGATTTAAGTGTTCTTACCAATTTGCTGAATTCAAACCATGGTTCCTGTTTGAATACTATAATCTATATGCATTTCTTTACACATTTAATTATTGAAAGCTATCCAGATTTGGTACATTTACTTTCTACTAGAAGAAGTGGCTGGGGAGAGGGAAGTCTGGGCCTCCCTTCTTAAGCTGCTTCCCCCGCGACCCGACCCCGGATAAGCGGAGGAAGATGGATGAAGATGGATACTTTCTACCATTGTTAGAGTTCCTTTTGTGGACCCCACTACTGTTAGGGCTATCATTTGCTGAATATGGATTGGCCTGCAACTCGCATGTAGGATACACACTGAAACATAAAACTAGCATTTTGAAAGTTGTCCATTCTGTGACCTGTTTTCAAAAATGATTGTTCATAGTTTGTCTAATCTGTTTGGGTGCACAGCTTAAATGATAAATTACGCTTGCAGGTAATCTTGTGTCTATGTTGATCATTCCTTAACGAGCCACAGATTTTCTGTATTCCCCAGAGCCTTGCTCTGTTTTGTTGTTATTTTTGTGTAAACAGCAGTAGGTGTTTGATGGCTTTTTAAACAATGTTCTCCTAGTGAAACACTCCTTCTTTCTAGGAGCGCATTGTGAAGTGAACATCAATGAGTGTCTTTCCAGCCCATGCCAAAATAATGGAAGATGTATTGATGAGACTAATCAATATCACTGCTGGTGTCCTGATGGCTTCATAGGGCTCCACTGTGAGTCCAACATTGATGAATGCATGTCAGCTCCGTGTCTTCATGGGAGGTGCGTACTTTTCCCTTTCTTTCAACAAGAAAATAATGGTTATTGGATAAAATTATAAAATGACCCCTTGCCAACAAGGCAGGAACTACTTTTATTTTGTGGTCATACTTAAGTCACGATTATCAACTTAGCTAAAGAGAGATTATTACATTCCAAACATTATATTGATTTCTGTATAAGCTTTCTCCGTGACATATCCATCAATAAGACTTTCATTAAGAAAGCTTCATATATATATATTTTTTTTCTGCTTTGCTACGGGACCCGATTTTGACCTTATCTGTTTTTCTCCCCCAGCTGTAAAGATGGAGTAAATTCATACACCTGCCTTTGTAAACCGGGTTGGACTGGCATCAGATGTGGAACAAACATTGATGTGAGTTTAGTTTAATTAATAAACCTGGTGGGTTTTCAGTAGAAAATGCCAGGAGCCTTTTGTAGTCTTTGTGTGGCCTTTGGTATCATTACCTCTATTGACGTGTTTGTGAGATAAGTCAATTGGTCTACCAGGATCATGTAAACATTGTAGAAATACCTGATTAAAAGGAATTGGCTTAGTGGAAAGCCTAATTGATTTAAATCAAAGCTCTCTGCTGGACTCCAGAGATAAAATATAGAATTGCTTACTGGCTTTCTGTATATTCAGTAAATTAACTATTAACAAATTACTTTCCTTGGTGTTTAGCCTAAACTAAAATTATGGTATACAATCTTCTATGTTGTGTTGTTGTCAGTTGAACCTACAATATCTTTCAGGACTGTGCCTGCAATCCCTGTGTAAATGGAGGCTCCTGTGTGGATCTCATTGATAAATACGCATGTTTCTGTCTGGATGGATTCACAGGAAAGACTTGTGAAACTGACATAGATATTTGTAAAGACACCTCTTTTAACGTCTCACTGTGCTTCAATGGAGCCACCTGCATCGATGGTGAAGGATCAAACTTCACTTGCATGTGAGTTTGCATACTGCATTTTTTGTTTCTTTGACATTCAATGATTTTATGTAGACTGAGAAAAGCAAATATTTTTCAGTTGACATATAACTCCAAGTTATCTAATATTTAATTAAATAGATTTTGGACTGCCATGTCTTGTGCTTCTTCTAAGACACACGCCCAACACGCTGTGTCTTAGTAGAAGAAGTCTGGTTCAATCTTAACTCATGGAAATACAGTAAGCTCTGCACATATATGGAATACATTCACAATTACCATTCAAAATATCATAATTTTTTAACAATTAGATAATTCAACTCCACACCAAATACTTCATTTTAAAAACACTTATCTAGGCCAGTGAAACTCAACTATAACTTAACTGCTCTTATATTCACAAAGTAAACGACAAATAAAAATGGTTGAAAACCTAAGTCTATAGCACCTGACAATACCTCTACCCGAACTAGCAAACATCTTACACCATAAATAAGGCATGACTTTACTGTACCTTTAAACAGGCAAAGTCAACTTCAGCTAAAATACTTCTAAATTTTTGGCTTGTTATAATCTCCCTAACAGAAGTTATAATAATAATAATAATAATACATTTTATTTAACAGTGCCTTTCTAGACACTCAAGGTCACTTTACAAATAATACAAAAAATAAATAAAAAGAGATGAAAATACAAAATACAGATACAGGAACATAAAACAACAGAGAACAAAAAACAATTATGGATAGGGAAAAGAGCAGTGTATTCACAGATAAGCGAGCTGGAACAGATGATCTATTCCTGTTTTTAGTAGGCAGTTCTAAAGTGATGACACAAATGAACAATACAATTTTTCTTCAAAACTAGTCCATCAGTAGACACGCAAAATGTGGAGTAGATATAAGGGAAGTGACCAAATGTCTGCGCTAACCTCTAAATTGAGCACTATATAGGGGTTACACCATTTTATATGAGCATGTGAATGTCTCTTGGATGAAAAAGTAGTGCACTCTGTGCACCCCTCACAAAGAGTCATGGGATTTGATTTGGGGGCAAGAGAGAACAAGGATGGTGCTATGCTTCTAAGGTACTATGCGAGGAGCCGAGTCACTTGACTAAGGGGGGTTGAAAAGTAGAGATCATCTGTTCGAATGGTCAATTCACTTAGAGCATTCTATAGCCCCGTTCTATATAGTGATTGACGGGTTAGGGCTGACATTCAGAAACAGCCAATGATTCACTACTGATTCACATATTCCAGGGAGTGCACATGAGTACAATTTATTCTAGTAGAGTTCTTTATAGAATCTCAAACATCACACATATTCAGTTTGAGGCAGATTTGAAAATGCATGTCGGATTTACAGCCAAACATATCCAAATGGCAAGAGATGAAAATTCAACACTGCAACACTATAAGGTTCAGCAAGAAGTCGGTGTTTAAAGAGGGTTTAGCAGATTTTTTGTTTCTTTTATGTTGTGTCAAAACTTGTGTGAACTGCAGTGTAAAGAGAAAAACTCCACCAGTGAATGACGAGACTTCCTGTTTATAGGGGTTGTGCTAAACTGATGTCAGTTAAAGCGCATCTGTATCTTTTGAATGCTGGTCTGATATGACCAACAGGAACTGTGATGAAGCTCTTAACTAGTGCGTGTAAGTTATTACACCATTTTCTTTTTATCAATTGAAGTTAGATCATGACCATACCCAGATGCTTTGATGCAGGGTGAGGTGATGCAGTTTCTGGAACATCCAAATTATTCCTGAAAAACTGTCTGGATCCTGTAAAGTGATGGCGAGGGGACTTGTTTGGCTATCTACTCAGGTCTCAGTTTTTTTTTGAATTGGTGCATTCCGTTTAACCTATGGCTCCTGTCTTGAATCACCCAAGCGTTGGCTAGTTTTACGGCAAAATGTTGTGCTCCGGAGTATTAAATGATATCAGTGTTTTGTGGGAACAATTAGAAAAAAAAAGGATTTATTGGATAAAGCTGAACATAAAATATTGCAAAAACCCACATGAATCAGTAAATATTTCCGTCTGATTCAAAAACCTGTTCTTAAGTGCATCTTAATCATTTTAAAGTTGAAATCATTGTCAGTGATAGGGAGCTTAATTTGCTCCAATTAAAAATGCATCCAGTCTAATAATAATTGTTGCTGCAGTACATCTGTGCCTTGCATCAGTTCTTCAGGTTGTTTGCAAGTGAATCATTACTTTTTAATTGCCATCATGCTATGCCTTGAGTGATGAAGTGGATCTAGATACAAGATGAATGCAGGGCTACTATGCCAATTCGACTCAGCAGATCCTCGGTTGCTGTACAGTTAATTACTTTGCCTAACCTTGTGCTGTTGTGCTGCTATATGCTTGATGTAATGATTTATATGACAATGAATACTGTTACTCCAAGTAGTGTGATGCTGTTTACAGTGTGAAGTGATGACACAGTGCACTGCCTGGGTAGCATGTTTTAAATGATGCTTCTCTGATTTAGAGTTGCTTCTATAATATTACATTACAGGGATGCAATTTGTCCTTTGAATTTGCAAATAAAATGAATGGGCTTTTGTTTATTGTTTTAGCTTGATGTAGAGAAGCTGCAAGAAAAAATAAAAGTAAAATTATTGACACCATTGAATATGAAATAGAAAGGTAGAATCTCATAATTTAAGATAATATGACCTCCTAAGTGTTGTACAAAAACTCCCTGTAAAAGATATTAAATCCTAAAGTCATTTTGTGGGTTTACAATTATAAATTGTTAAAGGTATTACTTTATAGCAGATGTAGAATTTCCCAAGGGATGTTTTAGATTCCGTAAACCCAGCAAGACTTCATGCTTTTTCTTTACATTTTCCGTTTTGACCTTCTACAGTCTGCCTTATTATTTAGCATTTGTCTTGCTCCCAGTTGGAAATTCATAGAGGTTTAATCCTTAGATTTTTGGCCTCCTTGGCCTCAGATTTGCAGAACCTTTGATGCATGATCAAGCTCTCTGTCCATCTGGAAAATCACAGTTTTTCACCAGGGGGTAGAAACACAGTGGGATGGATGTGCAGAATTTAAAAGTGATTTAATTTATACAACAAATAGCTTATTTTCTTATATACCTTTCTTAAAAATAAAATAATAAAGGAAACTGTTTAAAAAAAAGGCATGCGTGAAAATCAGCATTTAATTTATTTGGGTCAATTTAAAACAATATTTCTGAATTAATGAAACCCAACAAGCCAAAAGAGTTGAATTTTTTTTGTCGCATTGACCTAAACATTTTATGGATATCAGTTCATGTTTTATTAATCATTTTGAATTTCCAAACTTCTGCACAATCATCACATAACGAAACAATATAATGCAGTAAACAAAACAGAAACATTTACATTTTTCTTCAGATCATTTCCAGACAAGTTCATCATTCAAAAACTTTAGCATTCTGTTCATACCACCATATTGTTAAATGCCAGCAAATGAGTCAAATGTAATAAAAAATCCATGTTTGGAAGCTCTTTGCCAGGTGCATAAACAGAGCAAACCACAACAAAATTTGGTGCTCTGTTAATATTTGATATTTAATATTTTTGTTGCTCTACACTTTGTTGCACATTTTATAATTGAACGTATGGTAGGGAGGGAAAGGCATATGGTGCATGTCTGTGGTTTAAAATAGACAAATTGACCAGATTTTATATATAGTATTTTTTTTAACCCTGAGAGATGCAATCTTTTTGTCAAAACAGTATGTAACTGTCACATACGATAGCAACCCATCTTTCAATCGTGGTTCAACTATTAGCCGTTTTTTTGTTTTGGTTTACTTTTTGTAGTAAGCTAATCTTTTTTATTTATCACTGTCATTCAACTTATTTAATATATGACCTAGATAAATGATAGTATAATTAAAAACAATTTTAATAACAAGAAAATTTCAACGTGATTGTTTATTTCCTTCCAATACCTTCGAATTATCATCTGAAAAATTTCCACAAGCTGCTCCATTAGTCGCACAAAATCTCCAACAGACATCTCGACAGCGTATAGCAGATGCCACTCTAGGATGTGATGGATAATTTCAACATTTTTTGTTTGTTTGTTTTCAACAGAATTAATTTTTAGCTGGGCATACACTTTACAAGTTTTTGCTCTTTTCGGGCTGATTTTCCAGGGGCGAGAGAATTTTTTTTGGAGCCGAGCCAAGTTTTAGCCTCATCATGCATCCTGCGTTATGTGATATACAGGGAGTAAGGGAGGGGCGATTAGCCTGTCACGACCACCTTCCAATCAGGAATCGTTAGGTCGGGAGAAATTCAGTTAGCCCTTGTAAGGTGTTAGTGGGGAAATCCTGCTGTTGAAGCAGAGCTACGAGCATCTACGAGCCGATTTACTAAAACCTCATGCACTGTACATATGCAAACAGGATTTTTTCTTCCAGATTGACAAGTCCGACGTGTGGTTTTTGGATGTGAAGTGCGAGCAGCTAAATCGCATCAGAGCATCTGGCTGCACAGTGTAAGATCATGCATAATGAAGTGTTAACTTTTAAACCCTGCGATTTTGTTGTACAGTTTGAGCTGTAGCTGAGAACAACAATTGCAAATATCGCACAGAGTATGCCCGGCTTATGTGTTACTGATCTCTATAAAGGACCACTAAAGCTTGCACTGTTTCCCAAATACTCTGTATTTCAGTTATTTCTGGATGGTTTACTAAAGACAAGCTGTTTGTTGGCGACTAGTTCCTCATCATCTGTCCAGAATGTTTGACATTACCATAGCTCGATTACTTGACCTTAGTCCAGGCACTGCGCATAAGCTTGTCAAAGTTTACCCTCCAGGCTCTTTCTAGTTCTTGTCTGAGGCCTTGGTATTTTCCAATTTCTCATGTTCTTTTTTCCTGATGTTTCCATAATTTGTGATGACCACATTAATCACTACAGCCATCCTCTGCTGCATATCAATGATCACAATGTATGTTTGGTTGGCCACAGCCATTTTGTCTGCATCTGAAGTATCTGGAAATCCCACAGGATCTTAGCTCTGTCCTTCCAATTTCAATCACAAAGCTTTCACCTCTAAAAAGTAAAAGAAGCCTATGGACTAGAACCACCAGGCTCCAGAAATGCTTCTTCTCCACAGCTGTCAGGCTCCTGAACGCCTCCTGACACCAACTATAAGGACTGTACCCCCCACCCAACCCACACATACAATACATGCATAGTCACAACAACCTACTACTGTAATCCGACACCATGTATATGTATTTCTCAACTAAAGCTGTATATAATCTGTAAATCTTTTATCCACTATTATCTCCCATTATCTTGCATTATAACCCCATTAATATATATACAAAATCCATATCCTAACTTTCCTGTATAATCTGTATCTACAGTAGCTTCCCCTATTTATCTATTTTATAGCCTCTTACAATTACTTTCTGTTTATATGTACATTTAATTGTTTTGTACTCGTGACAATGTAATGACAATAAAGTTAAATTCTATTCTAATAATTTTCATACCAAGATTGCTTATTATTCTATGTGACATAATTCAACATTGTAATCAATTCAACAAAAAATTACCACATAATATTCTAAGTTCTGATGCCCTACTTTGAGGAACACTGCTCTAGAGAGTCTGATTGCCTGATAAACCAATCAATATCAGGAAACCTTGGTGATTCCTTTTAATTCTTCCATTTCAACATCCTCCAGCAGAGCAGCATCCATACCACACCATCACGTATGGCTGTCACAGCAGTTTTAAAGTGTTTATAGCTTTCAATGTGAATGCCTTACAGGTAGTTAAATTTGATCTGTGGTGCACCTCACCTTGTTGATCATCGGCGAGAGGAATGTGATGTGAGAAAACATTTATATATTGCGCAAGCTTGGTCCTTGTATATATTTATGGTTGACCAGCACAAGCACGAGCTACACAGCAATATTGATGCTTATGATGATGTCGATCTATGAGTGTTTCATATATGATAGTCGATGAACGTCTGAGAGGTCTTAAATCTGGCTTAAATTCTCCACCTCACCATCTGTCATTGTTTTCTGCTCTCCTTCAAAATGTGTGCATGTACTTGTCAGAGTTGGTATGAGGGACCAGACGTTTCCAGACCAACATTTATTTGATAGATCACAATTTTTGTGTGAAAAGTAACTTATCCAAGTTTAAGGCCTCATTTTGTGGGTGCTTGACAAATCAAATCTCTGATGAATATTCTCCTTTACCATTCTTCAAAGCTTGATTTTAGTTTCGAGGGCTTCTCACAAAGAAAATATGATGATTGAAGGAGGTGCTTTGCATTATATACCAGGCACTAATTAAAGGTTATAAAGTAGAGCGGTGACCTTTTGCTTTATATTAATAAATAGCACATTGTGAACATGGTTCTAATATTAAATGGATCAAATGTATTTGAAATTGTACTACTTACATTATTTTTCTCCTGTCAGGGTATTTTTTTTCCTTTGCCATGATTTCCTCTCTAAATTTGATCTAAACTTCCAAACTAATCTGTTGAATTGATCAAAATTGAACTGGCTGACTGCTTCCTTTGTTAATTTGTTGCAAAAGAAGTCATTCTTACGCACAGTATTTCAAACTCACAAAAAAGTGACAGCCCAGAGAGATTGCCTAATGGTTTATTTAAACTATCATTTTTTTAGTTGTCCACCAGGTTTCATGGGGGATTTCTGTGAAGTGGATATAAACGAATGTTGCTCAGCGCCGTGCCAGAATGGTGCTGTTTGCCAAGATCTTATTAATAGCTACGTCTGCCACTGCAGGTCAGGTGAGTCATTCTGATATCCTGTGATTTTCTCAGTTTGCCTCAAAAATAATACAGTAGTTTTTCCAGTTCTAAGATCTTTTAAAGGCAGCCTTTCCAGTTGTGAATACTTTAACATAACCTAAATAGCATTAAGTCTTTACATCTTAGTGAGCAAGAAGACTTAAGTCTCTATAATGTCCTAGATGTGGTAGAGGGGAGCTTAAAGGCTGTAGTAACTTACAGATCACCTTGCAAAAAGTCTGCTGAAAGGTTACTATCATGTCTACATACATACTGTCCTCAAAGCTACTCTGAGGTCACTTTTCTCCACGGTGATATTTACTGTCATACAGTAGGAAAAAAAACAGTGATTAAAGAACAAAATGACCTTATCTCGTTGAAATGGATGTGGCATCTTACTCTTTAGTGAAAGCCTTTTCTTGTCCCTGTATGTGTGTGTGAACCCAAAAAGAAGCAAATCAATGTAAGCGAATCTGATTGATATTCACTTCAGAGGGTGGAAGTGAGAGAGCACAGGCTCACTACAGCACTCTGTGGGCTTTTGTTCCTGGCAGGTTGGACAGGCCTTCACTGTGAGGATGACATTAATGAGTGCCTTCCACAGCCCTGCAACCAGGGGATATGCATCCAGAATGATCCAGGCTATGGCTACACCTGTTTCTGTCGTCCTGGATTTGTGGTGAGGCTCTTCCACTTTATACTCTTACCCTACCTCTTTAAACTAAACTTGGGTTAGTTACCAGTTTCCTCTGAAGTAAAAACTTTTAAGTCCTTTCTTGTCAGTCAAATAATTTGTTTAATCTTTTTCATTTTCTTGTTTCTTAATTATTCGATGAAAAAAATAAAATCATACTGTTATCTTTGTAAACATAGATATACTTAGGTTGTCTTGTACTTTCTACGATGATGTTTTTTAAATTTAAAAAGCTTTTAACCACTTTGACGATTCAACTGTAAACATCAGACCTCATTTAATAATTCAGTGTATGGTTGAACAACATATCTCATTGCTATCTAATTTATGTAAACAGGGAAGAAACTGTGAGCAGAACTATGATGACTGCCTGCCCAATCCATGTCCAGAAGCTTTTTCCTGTGTAGATGGCATAAACAAGTTTAGCTGCATCCCTCCCATTATGGTTCCTGTTCCCTTGGTGACGCCAAGCATGAACATCACCCACAGTTACACACCCGGAACAGTGATGTCAACGCTAAGCCCAGTACCAACTGCTGAATTATCCACAGGTATAGACCATGTTGTGTGCTTGTTAAAATTTTTAAGTGGAAAAATAGCGATACAAATGACGTGTCCTACTTCATATGTCACTTTAAGCTTATTATAATATTTCCTTTAGGGTGTTTTTTTTGTGCAAGAAGGAAACCTCATCCTTTATTCATATTTTCCATTTCCATTTACTTAGACAAACAAACTCTCTAGAAAATACAGAGATTGTTTTTCAAATTTCCCTACTAACTTATCAAAAAGTTCAAAACTATACAATTAAGAAAAAGCAAAAACAACAATCAGTCAAAAAGGTAAAGGTAAAAAGAACAGAAAATTGTAGTATATTTTAGAATCTTTTCCCATCGAAGGTGACATTAGGATAACTTCAGAAAACAATTTTACAAAAACTCACTTTCCAAGAAGTCCCCTTCAGTGGAAAAATCTTAAAACTATATGCTTAAACTGTAAAAACAGAAACCTTAAAATTACTTTCTGATCTTAAAACTGACTAGACTTTTCCTCTGTCACATCTATTATTTTTATGAAAATTAATTCAACAAGATGGGGATTTTATTTAACTGAAACTTTTCCTCCTCCTCTCTTCATATTCAGACATTTAACTACACTTAGACCAGTAGGCCTTTAAAAAAACAATTGTTGGTTGTTTTAAACTTCTGGTTTTAGAATTCAAATACACAAATTCAGGACTCCTAAAATTCTGATTAATCCTTGGCTTCTATTACCTAAAGGTGACCCTCATATTTTCACGATTACACAGTAAACCAGTGAGATAGGCTCTACGTCCCTGAGTTGAGAATTGTTTGATCCAATATATGCATTTAAAGGGGTCATAGAATGATTATATAGGGTATCTGGTCCTTAAGGTCTCTGAATAGGGTGTGTAACATTGGTTGAGCAGAAAATGGCATATTTGCTGTTCTATGCACCCTAATGCAAGCCCGGGTAAGAGCCCCAGAATGAAACAACAGTTTTTCTTCCTTTTATGGTATGCTAGTGAATACTCAAATGAGCTGTGAGCTGATTGGTTGGTTTACAATGAGCGAAGCTGCTTAGCAAAGACGCATCATAGCAGCAAGCACTCATTCACTGAAACATCAAATTGTTTATATGGTAGGGTGACCAGACGTCCCCTTTTTCCCAGACATGTCCTACCTTTCATAACTAAAAAATGTCTGGGGGGAATTACAAAATCGTCTGAGATTTTGGTCGACTACAGTGCAGCACGTTATCGAAACAGGGAGCCAGTGGGGGACAGAGCGACCGAACCTGACCCGGGGATGGTAGCTTCCCCCTGCCTTACTGGGCAGTCGGGGAGGAAGCATACTGTCGCCTGGTCGGGTTTGGTCAATCCATTTCCCGCTCGGGCCCCCCACGAATTGACGTCAATTCAGTGCTTCGTTTGAATTCGCCCATTTTATGCTGGAAGTTTAGAATTGTGAGATTTGCAGAGAAAGGAGGTATCGATGAGGTTTGACCTTCTTTGTACGTCCATTTCACACACCGAACTATCGTCATTCATCTATGACAATCTAAACTCAGTTTTGCATTCTATGACCCCTTTAAAACTCCCCAACATCAGCAAAACACTTTAGAACTATGCTCATTTCAGCTGGTAAAATAGCTTAACCACCCATAAAAAAACGAGTTCTGTGTTTTTGTGGGATCAAACTAAAATGTACTTTTTTGGCCATAATAATCATCTTATTTTCTAAAAATCTATAGGCATAACGGTTGGTGTGCATCCAAGCAATTCAGATCACAATGCCGAATAAGTTTAAGCACTTTGGTCGGGAGAAATAAAAAAAAAAAGTTACAGCAAACTCTCACATTTGAGAAGGTTATATAAAGGTATTCTAAACACTTAAACAACTAATTTCAAAGGCATTAGATTTTAATGGAATATATGTGAACTTATCAATAAGAGTTATGATTACATATTATCATATAATTTGGAGTTTCACCAATACAAACTTTGGTCAAACTCTTCCTTCTACATTAAAATAACATGGATGTTGGTTATACTGTACACACGTGATCTCTCCTTTGGCTCCTGTTCTATGAAGTGGAGAAGACTTTAATTTGGCCAGCAAGTCCTGAACAAATATCTAGGTTTCTTTTGTTTTATGACTTAAGTCTTTTCTGTTGCACAATTACTGTGCATGCAAGATATTTCCGTGCTGTAATTATATAGTCCTATGCCGTCATTGGGATGCCTCCTTCTTAGAAGCTCTCTTGGGTTGGGCTTGCGTAGCTTCAAACCCAGGTTTGAAATCTGTGACTGATGGGATTTTCAGTTACACTTGGCTTTGTATTTGTTTTATGATGAATTTTCTGTAAATTTTAAAACATCAAGACCTGATACTGATAAAGAAATCGGTATTGCTATTTCCACTGGCTTTGTTTCTAATAAGACACACTTATTAAAAGCAAAACTATTCATGATGGTATTTCTATTTTTCTTGCATTAATGTGTGATGGTTTAACGACTTATAATGTAAAAGGTGATTTTTTTATATTTTTTTAAATATTTCTTTTGAGAAATACTTAAGTGGTCTAACTAAATCTATTTATTATGACAAATGCGACAGACAAGGATACTGCCAAGTAGGAATCAAACAAGTTTCAACATTTTTAAAACATTAGTTTAGCTACGTGACTTTGAACTATTATTTATAAAGATAAACAATAAATGATGTAAAAGTGAGGCCAAATATAAGAGCCTGTTTTTGATAAATAAAAAATCCAGATCTACCATGTCCTTCAAAGCAAACTTAACGACTCACTTTGCCAAATTTGAATGAGGTGAGACTCCCTTAGAGTCCTACTTCAAATTGAATTTTTATAGAGCCATTTGAAAATAACATCGAATGATTTATTAGCTCTGAATCAGATCATCTTAGAAATGATATGCAGCTGTGTCTGCATTCTGTCTAAATCTGGTTTTGTGCTTTCTTCTAAATTGTGCTGCTCTGTTTTTATTTGAGTTAAAGGGGATTCTAACAAGTAATGTGGCTGATCAGTATTTGGTTGTACATCGTTAAGCTAAAAAATGACAAACACTAAACATAAATTGTTTTGCGTTATTGCTGTTTGATGCAGTCGTCTATGTAGGAGAAGGAATCTGTGAGTTCGGGACAGATTGTTACTCTGTGACAGATGAGGTCTGTCTATATCTGAGACTGTGCACAGAACTGTAAAACAAATCTACTGAACACAGACAAGCTTGAGCCAATTTATTGTGGCACTTTAAAAATCAGTAGGGGGCCCAATTGTTATTGAGTCCTCCCCACTGGACCTGATCCAGCCAGCTCTTGGTAAGCGCACCGATTCAGAAACGGTTAAAAGGTACACAAAAAAGGTGCAATAGAAAAACAAACCTGAGCCTTGGCACACTGAAACATTCTTTTGCTCTCCTACACAGAAGAGTATAATCAAAGTAAATAAGTTCTAAAGTAAGAGAAGCCAGAAACTCGTGAGTTTATCAAACTAGGTCACCATCTAAATACATGCAGTGCCCTTGGTGCTGCTTGAAATAGACTCAGTGCTCCTTTAAACCACAGACTGCTCCACAACCTCTGAAATATATATATCAAGTTAAAGTGATGTCAAAATATAAGAGGCATAATGGCATACTGAATGCATAAGATCTCTATTTTATCCTAATTCTTATGTAAAACCAACTTTCTAAGCTTGTTCCAAGCAAACAAACAAACATTAAGGTTTGGAATGGTTAATTCCTTTGCTGTACATAAAGTGCTTGAATGCATAGTACTGAAAATGTACCCTGTAATGTAAAATCTAATTGGAATCTAGAGGAAAGAGGCTTGCTTCTGCTTAGCTATGATTTAGTCGACTTTCCTTCAAGTGATCACCACAACACAGGTGAAGCTGTTATCTTTTGCTGCCATGTGTTGTGGAAATCAAATTACCCCCTCAAAGCTGTGCAACATCAACTTGATGAGTAAGGAGTTATTCATTCTAAACATCTAGAATCTCTTGGGGCAGTTTCACTATTACTCTCATTTTGTGCATCTATTAATTTGTTTTGGAGGTCGATTTAGATGCTGATTTGTAATGACTGGGTCTGTAACTGTTCTTATTATTAACGTGAGTTTGCTAGTATTATAACATTTCCAAATAGATATAAAATATTTTGGAAAGATTTTTTCCAAACTAGATATTTTAGCCTAAAGTTACACATTCTGTGCCTATTTGCAGGTTTTCACTTTTCAGTCCATTTTAGCTGTTATTTCAGCCCTTTATCCAAGAAATTCGAATCAAACAGAGATAAGTATTTCAAAACTTTTTCAAAACATATTTCTAATGGAGTTGTTGAAGTGAAATTCACGCCAGATGATGATATTACCCCCAGGAAACCACATATTAGAGGAAAACAATAGAGAAAAGTCAATAAAATGATGTGCAAAACAATGGAATGACACAGAGAATAAGTATTGAACAACTTTGCTGAACTATGTTACTGCTCTTCAAAAAGATTTTATTCTTACCCATTCATCACACCAATCTGTTTTTTAATCCTAAAACTTCTGTTTGCCTCTTCGTTGCATTTTAATGATCAGGTTTCCATAGTCTATTGACGGGCCCATTTTACCAGCTTTATATTGCTTCTTCTAAAAAAATTTCAGTTTTTTTGGAATCATTGTCTTGCTAAAAAGAAATCCACATTGTTTGTGCAGGTTATCAAGAATATCTCATACATTCCTTCACTTATCTTTCCTTAACTTATTCAAAGTCTGGCTGTACATATGTCTCATGGCAAACCCAAATCATTATGTTCACACTTTGGAACTTCTTCAATAATAATATGCTTTGGTTTTTGGGAGACATGCAGAGTTATTTCCCCAGCAGGGTAGTTACAACAACGTCATAAGACTTTGCTTTTAGTCCTTTTTGAAATCTAATCTCCCAGTATGCAATTGGCTTGGCTTAACACTTCATAGTAAACATTAACTGAGCTTCAGCATACATGCTCTTCAGCAGTGGAGTCTTGTGAGGTGAAAGTACTAAAAGGCATTCCAGCAAAGTGTTATTCAATTTATTCATTAACAAAACTGGCCCTGCTAATTTAAAGCACTCAATAGTTGGCTTTTGATTTTGGACAACTCTTCGGATAATTTTTTTAACTCATCTGTCAGAATTTTATAGCATATCCTGACTGATTTTTGGCTGCTATACTTGCACACTCCTTTCCAGCCCTGCACTCCAGAGGGGGACATGGCTGTTGTCTGGGGGATTCGTTTCCCAATGCAGGACAGCAGGGGCCCGAACTGGGTCCTGGATAGGCAGAGGTACCGCTGAAAGTGACCGTCATACTGATGTAGCATGTGGAAGAGGTGGTGGTATTCCCCATACTAGTTCAGTCTCTGGGACTCTGATGAATCCTGGGACACTGACAGATTTGTTCGTCGTCGATTTGTTTTGTCGTAAATCTATGTCGCCATTTTAAGGTAAAACCAATAACCAGTAGACTCCATGACGAAGAGCTTTTTGCCCGCCAGGTAATTTGCTTTTGCTGGCCAGAGGAATTAAAAGTTGAGCAACTGCAGGAGGTTTCATGTTCAGTTTTAAAGCACCTTAATGGTACGATCAGACCACACGTGATAGCTGTTGCTAATGAGGTGGATTCACATATAATTCCTATACAAACTGCGTCATGAAGGGCTGTGAAGCGGCCAGCAGTGAAGAGTGTTCACTGCTCCGCTCTCACCTTGTGCCACTACATAGAGCTGGGTCGAGCCTCCGCCGTGCCGCGATCCTGATGGAAGCGCTGCCCGGCGATCAGGATCATTCTCATCTTCCATGTCAACAACGGAGTTTCAGCTGAGCTGCTGGAACAGCTGGACACCGCAGCGTCAGCGTTGGCTACGACAAATCCCGTTGCGCCCAGTGAGTACGACAGTGACGTCATCAACATTGAGGTGTGGGTTGCTGAATGCGCGCTCCATTGCAAATAAAGCTCTCTCTCTTGGTGAACTCTTCTCCAGAGAAAGTCTGGATTTTATGTTCCTAACAGAGACTTGGCAAAAGGATGGAGAAATGTATCATCTGAATGAGTTGTGCCCTGCTGGCTGTGCCATTTTAGGGAAGCCCCGCCCCTGTCGCCGTGGCGGGGGACTTGCTGCTGTGTACCAGGACAGGTACACATGCAGAATAACTGAAACTGAACTTTTTTACTCGTTCGAAGTGGAAATGCTGAAAAGTAGTCTTTCAAACACTTTTTATAGCATCTTGATCTACCGCCCTCCTGGCCCTGCTGGTGTTTTTATCAGTGAATTTAATAATTTTTTATCCTCTCTCATTAAACTGGAGAGAGTTTTAGTTCTTGGGGATTTTAACTTGCATTTGGATGATGATACATCCAACCCAGCAGTGGAGCTTTTATCTTTGATGGAATCATTCGGATCTAGACAACATGTATCAGGACCCACCCACAATAAGGGTCATACTTTAGACTTAGTCTTCTCACTTGGCCTCCATGTTACAGATGTCCGTGTCCAGGATGTCCACCTGAGTGATCACTACTGTATCTTCTTTAACTTAAATGCTCCTCCTGAGCTTAGGCCAGCCCCTACAAAGGCTAAAAGGAGGATCATAACAGAAGCTACAGCTGAAGGATTCTGTG